TGTTTCCTTTGTCCTTTGCCTCCAGACCCCCCCCTCCACCCCCCAAATCTTAGCCTCTGCTCTTTTAGCTTCCTGCAGGCCTGAACGGATGAAGGGGAAAAGTGGTGTTGTTCTCTTCACTCAACAAATGAGTGTTATCCAAAGGGCTTGAGCATCTGCATCTTCCCTCCCTGGTCCAGATTTTGCAGCAAGAACAGCTCTTTGTACTTGTTAGGAAAGGGGGAAAAACACTCTGCTTATGTTCCAGGGCATTCCCTCTATGTAATCTTTGTTCAAGTCCTCCCTCAACCTCAACTCTGAGGCACTCTTTCTCATTCAGCCCAGCTTACCTCACTGAGTTATTACTGGATAAAATGAGAGACAGCTTGTAGGCTACTCTTGCAGTGGAGTACAAATGTAACAATAAATAGAAATAACATCTGGCTATAGATGGAATAAATTTACTACCAAGCTGCCTAGTACCAAAAAATGCAATGGCTGGACTGATGCACCCAGTAAACCCTAGGCCTGGCTGAACATGATTTACACAACATGCTAAACAATGTTTCTATTCCCATAGGGCACTGAAATTTAAACTCTGCAATTCCAATTTAGCCTAATATAGCAAGTTGTGAAAATCCAGACCGGCAGGAGGAACCTACATTGTGCATCTGTGGTGGGTGATGGCTAGCATGCCAAGGTACCCTTTTCCATGAGAAAGAGGTGAATTAAGTGGGTTCTTGCCAAGAGTCCTAGCCTGTAGGAGAGGGAACCACTACCTTTTTTGGGGAGGGGGACCAAGGGCTTCATCAAGCCCAATCTTGCCCACTGACTGCTATGTTGTATGGGCCCAGCACAAAAAAGTGGGCGGGGCCAAGACAAAACCTAAATGTAATTGAATTTAAATGTATTATTCCCTAATTTCCCTCTTCTTTCACATTACAATTTCAGCAGCAAATTACACAGGAAGCCATGTTAAAAGGTTTGGGGGACAACTAGGTGTGAACTCTTAACTCTCAATTAGCAAAGAAAAGGACTAAAGCAGAAACTGTACAAGTTAAGAGCTAACCAGCCCTCACAATCCCTCCCCCACTCTCTGGCTGTATTCACACAACACACATCACTGATGACTAAATCAGTCCTTTTTCTGGGCTCACACAATACACTGCACTGTAAATTAAGCAATAGGCTGGGTTTGCCCAACTGCCAAGCCACAAAGAACCTCACCAAGATAACTAATCAAGATTAGGAAGCTGTGTAACTTCACCTGACTTGATAAAGCATGTTGTGCCAGAACAGCCTTTGAGGGTTTGGATCAGTGATTCTGAGTCCCAAAGACTCTTTTCTGTCTCAAACACATCTAGTAGGTCTGGAGCCATAAGAAATGCTATCGAGTGAAGAACAGAATTCATCCCCTCTCAGGAAGGGCTTTCTTCACGGGAAAGCGGGACTGCCTTTCAGAGACTGTAATGGAATTCACTGAGCCTGGAAACAGGAATGGGCATTTCCAAAATATGGTAGGGTAAGAACAGACAGACATTCTTTTCATATCTGCTAAATGGGTAGGAAACTTCTCCCTTAATCAAGAGACAGAAAGAGAATCAAAGACATCAAGGGGGCCCTGTCTTAACACATTAACTGATAAATGATGGCTAAAGTAGACATACCCAGTTTCCAATGTTCCAGAACCCCTTTCCTTTGCAATAAACCTAAATAATGAGATTTTGTGTGAAAATCTAGCTTTCTTGTTTGTGAGTTGGTGTTAGGGTTTTGAGAGACACATCAAAAAGTGTCTCAAAGTTGCTTTTAAAGCCTCTATGTGTTTTCAGGGTAAAATACATGTTCATTTCTAGTTCCTAAACACCAAAAAGTAACTCGGAATTTGCAGCAGATCTGAAAAGACCAGGTTGGGGAAGATTAGATTAATCCTTTATCACAAACCAAACTGGAAGCTATTTGATTTAAGGGTGGAATATAAATGTTTTGAAACAGAACCATGTCTGATGACACAGAAAACTTCCACCACAATAAATGAATCAGTCCAAGGTGACACAGGACTGTGTGCTGTTTTTGCGAAAATGGGCTAATACTACAACCCCTTTGGAACACGATTCCTTACTGCATTTCCTTCTCCTCTTAAATATATTGTCAGGATTATTGCTGTAGATGCTATAGAGAAAAGGGGAAACGGCTGCATTTTCCAACAAAATCATGGGATTCTTGTCAAAAACAAGGCCCAACTTCAAAGGCAGTTGTGAATGGGAAGAAGAGATATAAAGAAAACGTTGGCTCGGTTCACATACTGTGTTAAGCCAAATGTGGTATGTTTGGTTTTGGTTTAAGGCCTTTTCCAGCCCAAGAAACAGACTTGGCCTTTGGGCTTCACGCCAGGGAACATGTTCCAAAACGTAGTAAGTGAAGCCAGGACAAAAGTGAAATAGTATTTGGCTTGGCTTTGTATTTGCATTTAAGTAAAATTAAACCCAGTTAATATGAATATCCTCCAGCCATGAATCGAATAATTTTCCCTTCATGTTAAAATTTCCACTTTGGTTAAGACAGT